ACCTACCCTAGTCAGAGGTCCACCCCACCCCCAATGTACAGCAGAGTGATACCCACYTACGCGCTTTTTTTAAATTAATTTTATCTAGAAAAATGTCTGGGGACTTTCTCTTAGATAAAAATTCAATACAATAAAATATATACATAAATACTGTATTAAAAACACAGTATACATAATGCGCAGAGACTTTTTACGCGAGATTTGACGGATACTGTCGAAGAAWAATTTCTAGCAAGGATCACCAAAATAATATTATTGTAACGCCGGATTCAGTTTACAGAAAAATTGAAAAATTACCTATTTTTTTCTAAACAAATCGACGAATTTGGTTTTTATTTTTTGATAATATTATATTATTATGTCATAGGCATTATATGCAACATAAACAACATAAACTTTTTTAATTAAACCTAAATCGTTTCAAATCGAACAGCTTGTAATAAAAAAATAAATATAATCCGTCTCGCTGAGCTTAGATCAATCTTATTTTCAAGTTAATATATCGACGATTTTTAATCAAATATAGGTATAGGTATACGTAGCATGGCGTGCTCGTGTCATTTCGACGTGTGCTCGGTCTATGATAGTAAAATTACCATCCAACTTTGCGCAGTGCATGTAATATATTTTTATTCTAGCTTTAAATACTTAGTTTTAATTTTTTTTTTTTGTTCACTTATTTGCTGACTTTCTGCTTTCGTTCACGCCGTCGTCGATCAATCTCCGTAGTTCGCCATGGAATTCATCAACCAGTCTGGTTCGGATAATGCGGCTAGTCTCTGCAGCTTCTGTTATTTCGGTYATTAGTCGCCTAAAGTCATCTGCGTATCTAAACGATCAATRAACGGGGAAGAGCAGAAAGAAATGAAAAACATAAAATAAAAGTTAAATCGCTTCTCAACAATTGAAATAATAAATTGTGATTGTTGGATAATGGATTATAATAATATATTAGTCTGTGGAAGATTTAGGTACGGGAGTCCGGATGATAGCCGTATAGTGGTTTTGATGGAATTCCAATCAGATGTGGGCATGTGGTGAATCTAGAGTTAATAATTAAGATGATAATTATGGTAGTATCATATAGTACATGGCAAAATAATATGAAAAAAATAAATAGTTTTAGCCCTCTTTCCGAAGRCMAACCAAACTTGTGTTTAAATTTTGTTATACTTTAATACTTTTAAAATATTTTCCTATTTATTTATATCTACTTTTAATAATTATAATTTCCGTGAATTATAATTTTCTAATATTTACATATTAAAAGGAATTAACAAGTTCCAATAAAGGAGTAGGTTAAAACTATCACTGCCCACTGGTATACAGCTAAATTCGAATAAATAACATGACCTTACCCTCTGTAAACGTTATGGATCCCGTAACGGCCGTTTTCTATCAAAACTTGTTCCACGGTCACGTTACGGAATACGCTCACGTTGAAATCGACATCTTCACCTTCCGGAATTCCATCTAAAAACGCGTTCTTCCTGCTCACC